GGGAGAGAGGCGGAGAATGAGAGGGGGGAAAGCATATCTGCGTTCTGTGACTCCACTAATCAACTATTATGGATTAGCTGTGTGACACAAACTGACCAACTGACAAACTTCAGCGTGTGTGCTGGTATCCACGGTAACGGAGCACCTGCTCAAAGGGCAGAGACAGGACAGCGAGTTACACAGAATCCACACCTCAAACAAGTGTCCTCTAGCGCAAAACTATAACAGATATCTAAAAAATAAGGGTGGTGAGGAAGAGATAGAGAGGGAGAGGGGAGGAGAATTAGACAGACAGACTGACTGAGTGAGTGATTAACAGTGAGAAGAGGTCAGGGTGGAGGGGGTAGGGGGGGCGAGTGTCTTTATCATCATGGTCTGTTGACAGAAAGCATAGCTGCGTCATGTGACTCCACTAATGAGGTAATAGGAGCAGCTGTGAGTCACAGACAGAGATACTGCAGCGTGTGTGCGAGTAACCACGGCAACGGCGCACCTGGGCTCATTAACGAGCTGCTGCAAAGGGCAGAGACAGGACAGCGAGTTACACAAAATCCACACCTCAAACAAGTGTTCACCAGCGCAAAACTATAACAGCTATCTAAAAAAAGACTCTACCGAACGCATGGATGCGTTTTTTATGTCTGTCCGGTAATAAATACGGCTCCTGTCGCAGTTTACAAAACGTGTACCTTCTGGATTTTTTGAGAAATATGTCGGCAGATTTGTATTGGAGCCTATGGGGGTTTTAGCAGAGGTTGTGTGACTGTTGGTCTCCGTAGGCCAAAACTAAAGAACTCTGGGATTCCATAGCCACATGACTACAAGCAGCACAACCATGCCATCACGTTAAGCTAAAAATGAAGCCTCAAATATACTTTGGCTCTGAGGACCGAAGTTCCATATTTTTTTAACCAGATTTTGACGCTGCCCCACACTAGCATTTCCAGGTCTCACTCTAAGGAACGCAACGGAGCGAAGAACTAGTGAAACATAATCAGTGATTATGACAAAAGTAGAATAGATATCAACAAGCAGTTTTTTTCATAAAACAGTTGAGACTTGTGTCAACATTTGAAAGTTTAAATGGTGTCTGTAGCTGAAAGATTGGCGAAGCTGAAAAATCTGAAGTTGAAAGAAGGCGGAATAAAGATTCGAAGAACAATACTTGGAATGCTTAATGCATTCCAACAATAAAGATTCAAAGAACAATACTTGGAATGCTTAATACATTCCAACAATGACAAAGTGAAAAATGTTTTTTGCAATTTTTTGTAAATCTATTGAAAATAAAGAACGAAAACATAACATGTATATAAGTATTCACAGCCTTTGCCATGACACACAAAATTTAGCTCAGGTGCATCCTGTTTCCACTGATCATCCTTGAGATGTTTCTACAACTTGATTGGAGTCCACCTGTGCTAAATTCAGTTGATTGGACATGATTGAGAAAGGCACACACCTGTCTATATAAGGTATCACAGTTGACAGTGCATATCAGAGCATAAACCAAGCCATGAAGTCCAAGGAATTATCGGTAGACCTCCGAGACAGAATTGTATCGAGGCACAGATCTGGCGAAGGGTACAGAAAGATTTCTGCAGCATTGAAAGTCCCAATGAGCACAGTGGCCTCCATCATCTGGTCATCTGGAAGAAGTTTGGAACCACCAGGACTCTTCCTAGAGTTGGCCGCCCAGCCAGACTGAGCGATGGGGGGAGAAGGGCCTTAGTCAGGGAGGTGACCAGGAACCCGATGGTCACTCTGACAGAGCTCCAGCGTTGTTCTATGAAGAGAGGAGAACCTTCCAGAAGGACATCCACCTCTGCAGCAATCCACAAATCAGTCCTGTTTGGTAGAGTTGCCAGACGGAAGCCACTCCTCCGTAAAAAGCACATGAAAGCCCGCCAGGAGTTTGCAAAAAAGCACCTGAAGGACTCTTAGACCATGAGAAACAAAATTCTCTGGTCTGATGAAACAAAGATTAAACTCTCTGGCCTGAATGCTAAGCGTCATGTCTGGAGGAAACCAGGCACTGCTCATCACCTGGCCAATACCATCCCTACAGTGAAGCATGGTGGTGGCAGCATCATGCTGTGGGGATGTTTTTCAGCGGGAGGAACTGGGAGACTAGTCAGGATTGAGGGAAAGATGAATGCAGCAATGTACAGAGACCTCCTCAATGAAAACATGCTCCAAAGCGCTCTGGACCTCAGACTGGGGTGACGGTTCATCTTCCAACAGGACAACGACCCGAAGCACACAGCCAAGATAACAAAGGAGCGGCTTCGGGACAACTCTGTGAATGTCCTTGAGTGGCCCAGACTTGAACCCGATTGAACATCTCTGGAGAGATCTAAAAATGGCTGTGCACCGACGCTCCCCATCCAACCTGATGGAACTTGAGAGGTTCTGCAAAGAAGAATGGGAGAAACTGCGCCACGCTTGTGGAATCATACCCAAGAAGACTTGAGGCTGTAATTGCTGCCAAAGGTGCTTCAACAAAGTATTGAGCAAAGGCTGTGAATACTTATGTACATGTTATGTTTTCGTTCTTTATTTTTAACAGATTTGCAAAAAACAGTTTTCACTTTGTCATTATGGGTTGTGTGTAGAATGTTGAGGAAAATAATGAATTTAATCCATTTTGGAATACATCTGGCCTAGTGTGGCCCTATAGGGGGCGCTATAGGGACATTTCATTATACCCCAAATTATCACATTTTTCACTAGTTCTGTTATGCATGCCAAATTTAACAACTTTTTGAATAATAAGTCCCCAAAAGGGCAATTGTTGCGTGAGAGTATAATAATTCCATGAAATACAATAGGTTCCTCTCTGACTAGTCGTAGCGAGGACCCTAATAATTCCTTGAAATACAATAGGTTCCTCTACGGCTAGTCGTAGCAAGGACCCTAATTATATGTTTAGTTTTATTAATACCAGAATAAAAAGTTTCAGTTTCAGGATTGATTGAAAACTGTTGTTAACCTACTATCCAGAACTTGTTTTTGGTATGGTGTGAGTTGATACCAAACAGACCCAGACACATCAAGATGTCTCAGTAGGTTCAAAAAAACATTTGCTCTCATTCAGGTCAAGTACCTCGGTAATGGCCTGGATGGAGGCTCCATATTTGACAAGCAGCTCCATCACTTTCACTCGGTTCTTCTTACAGGCTATGTGCAGCGGAGTGAAGCCGTTCTGTTACACACACAGACAAAGTAGAGGATGAGCCCAGACGATATTTAAAGAGCTAAATGATATTCATCAGAAACTGTTCAGTCATTAGCTTGATCTTTCCTTTTGGAGGATTGCTCCATAATAATAATAATAATAATAATTTGTTTCATACCAGGGCCCTGGCGTTGGGGTTGGCCCTCTTATCGAGGAGCAGTTTGGTGACTCTGTAGTGGCCGCAGTGAGCTGCTACATGCAAAGCTGTTAGGTAGTCCAGCGTGACATCGTCAACAGGAGCCTTGTGCAGCAGAAGGTGTTTGACGCATTCAACATGGTCGCCTTGAGCGGCCATGTGAAGAGGAGACAGCCCATTCTTAAATGTGAAAGAGAGCTCATTTAGTTTGATGGACACGGATGGAGATTAAAACCGAGCTGATAGAAAAGTGAATATTGGACCAATGCACAACTTCAAATTGTTTAAAAGGTCAAACTTTAAAAAAAAAGGGTAAATGGTCCAATGACTGGCAGCAACGGCTGCTAAATAAAAAAGGTATCCTGATTTAAAGAAAGTGTGAAAACACATATATTTAAGGACACTTTCATTCAAGGTTTTACAAAGACTATTTCACAGATTTTTTCTGCATTATTACGATCAATTATGGCCAAATGTTTCTGCCACACTGCTCTCTTGAGGTTCAGCTGACATTTGCATCCAATGCAATAATCAGTTTTAGCTTAGGTGTTTTGCTTAAGGAAACTGAGATGCAGGACATGTTTGAGCAGGGAATCAAAATCCGAACACTGCGGTTAGCAGAGGACCCTTTCTACATTACATTACATTAAATTACACGTCATTTAGCTGACGCTTTTATCCAAAGCGACTTACAATAAGTGCATTCAACCCTAGGGTTCAAACTCAGAAGAACAAGAAAAAATAAAGTGCAATTTCCTCAAATAAGCCAATTTACAATTTGCTATAGATATATAAGTGCAATTTAAGTGCTACAATTTGTTAGTCTTTTAGTCGAGGTAGAGTCTGAAGAGGTGTGTCTTTAGTTTGCGGCGGAAGATGTGAAGGCTCTCTGCGGTCCTGGTGTCTTCAGAGAGCTCATTCCACCATTTCGGAGCAAGGACAGCAAAGAGTCTTTACTCAATTTACTTTTGTCAGATTCATTGGCCTGTATGTGTTTTTACTTGTTACCTGAATTGAGATCCAGAATTACAAAGTTTGAATATTAAAAAATACACATTAATATAAAACTATTATAATTTACCTGAAGATTACAAAGAAAATGGTTAAATTGTTCATATTTGCCAATAATTTTATATGAGATCAATATTTAATTACAAATAATGAGTTATTTTACACAAATGTAGAATTTATGACAACATTAAAATACTGTACCTATAACACAGTAATTTTGCCGTTCAAAAATGATAAAATAAAGGTAATTAGCCCAATACCTAAATTAACAGTTGGGTTGTAATTTACAGATAATGTCTTATTACAAATAATGTATGATATACATTATTTTGTATATCATTTTAAAAAACAGAAAAACTAATATAATACGATAAGATTTTGTACTTTTCCCCCTCTTTTATTACAGTGTAGTATAGTGTTGCTCCGTGTCTGCTGTCTGTGTAAATGCTCCCTAGCACGTTAGCGACATAATTATAAAACGCAATATATCTATCTATCTATGTGTCTGTGATGTGTACATTAGATTCATTCGGATTCTAAGTGTTTGGGTATATTTTATTATTGTTTAAGTGAAGCATTATTGACTTTAAATGAAGTCAGAACGTTCATAAAAATCTAGCTACAATGGGGATTGGATAGTTTTAGCCTTAATCAACAGACTAATAGCATGGTTGTTTCCATGCAAAGCAACAGTCAAGAGGTACAAAGAAAATTGTGGGTAAATTACATTAAATATATCCCTTAAAACAGTTCTTGACTGAACCATGAAGAGGTTTAAAGCCTAAAGAATTAAATTCTGACTGTGTGTATTGTAACTTTTTTATTTTTTATGAGGACCTCATGTCCCTTTTTGTCCAAAACTCTTGAACGTGCGATCTTTAACCAACTCTCCTCCTAGCAACCTCCTTGACCTCCACCAGTCAGGCTTCAAGGCAGGCCATTCCACAGAGACTGCTCTCCTTGCTGTTTCAGAGCAACTCCACACTGCTAGAGCCGCCTCTCTCTCCTCTGTCCTCATCCTTTTGGACCTCTCTGCTGCATTTGACACAGTCAACCATCAGATCCTTATTTCTTCCCTTCAGGAACTTGGTGTCTCAGGCTCTGCTCTCTCCCTTCTCTCGTCTACCTCGACGGCGCACCTACCGGGTAACCTGGCGAGGATCTGTGTCGGACCTGGTCCTCTTACTGCTGGAGTTCCTCAGGGTTCTGTCATGGGTCCCCTCCTCTTCTCGCTCTACACCAACTCTCTCGGCGCTGTCATTCGTTCGCATGGCTTCTCTACCACAGCTATGCCGATGACACCCAACTAATTCTCTCCTTCCCTCACTCGGGCACCCAGGTGGCGGCACGGATCTCTGCCTGTCTGATATCTCTCAGTGGATGTCCGCTCACCATCTGAAAATCAACCCCGACAAGACTACTTCTCTTTCCGGGAAAAGACTCTCCGACCCATGACTTGACTGTCAACTTTGCCCACTTTGACCGCTAGGAACCTCGGCGTGACACTTGACAGCCAACTTTCCCTGACTCCCAACATCAATGCAATAACGCGATACTGTAGATACACGCTCTACAACATCAGGAGAATACGTCACGTTCTCACTCTGAAGGCAGTGCAGGTACTGATTCAGGCTTATGTCATCTCCCGCCTGGACTACTGCAACTCTCTCCTGGCAGGTCTCCCCGCTACCGCCATTCAACCTCTGCAGCTCATCCAGAATACAGTAGCTCGACTGGTCTTTAACCTGCCGAAATTCTCCCACACTACTCCACTCCTCCGCTCTCTTCACTGGCTACCGGAGGCTGCCCGCATCCAGTTCAAAACATTGGTGCTCTCGTACCATGCTGTGAATGGATCGGGTCCAGCTTACATCCAGGACATGGTCAAACCCTACATCCTGACCCGCAGTCTCCGCTCTACTTCGACTAAAAGACTAACAAATTGTAGCACTTCAAATTGTACTTGTAACGCCACGTATCTATAACAAATTGTAAATTGGCTTATTTGAGGAAATTGCACTCACCAAACGCACTACTTTTAACCTGTTAACCAACAAATACAACATTTAAAAAATTAAGAGAGAAACATGCTTCTGTCCCTTGTGTATAAGAGGTGAATAACCTGGTGACAAACCTTAGTCCTGGCCAGCAAGGGTGCTCCCCTTTCCAGCAGCAGCTCCACAGCTCTATCATGTCCACTCCGGGCCGCACAATGTAGGGGAGTCAATCCATCCTACAGAACACACAAACACAAAAACGTATCGATAGTCATTCAATACATACTAGCATTGACCTAATGTGACAGGATTTAACTTTACAAATGTCCTTTTCCCTTTTGACCCAAGTTTTCTTGTTTGTTGAGGCTTACAATAGGCCAACCCGTCATTACTAATATGAAAATACCATAGTTTAGCTTCTCACGATACTCACCCTTGTTTTACCATCGATCTGAGAGCCCCGGTCTAGTAACAGAGCAACCATGTTAGTGTTGCCACGTTTGGAGGCCACGTGGACAGGAGTAATGCCATTCTACGGAGAGGAAAATTCCTTTAGTGACATTCATTTTATTTTAGGAAGAAAGTTTATTACAGTTTTTTTACAATCGCTATGACAATTTTTTCAATACTTCTAAAAAGTTCCATAAACTCTTAATGCACCAACCCACCAACGACACACTAAACATTACACCATGTCTACCAAAACACTAACACACATTCTCTTCCAACAGGAACATTTAGTCAATTATAGAACAATGTCATAAAAAACACTGTCAGATGGAATTACAAAAACTGCATTCTTATATATATATGTGTGTCAGGTCTCATAGAACATGGATCATAGATTGTGTTTGCAATACAGTTTCCTTTGAAACCTCTCTATATTTTTGTTTTGTTGGGTTTAGTAAATGCATGCATTTTGTTTTGCTGCAGAAATTGAGAACAAAAAATGAATGACCCATCTCAGAGTAGCTTTATAGAATGTACGGTTACTGTATTGACAAAAAGTAGACAGAAACATAATTGCTTCAGTAAAGGCTTAATTCCCAACAGGACATTACCGCAAGATATATATACCTGCCATTTATATAGTGTATGTAAAAATACCACGTAAATATACAAACAGAAATAGCCCCCCCAAAAATAAATCTACTACCTAACCTAATCTGCTCGGTCTTCTGCAATTGCACATGTTCTCATCCACATCACGCCTGATATCTTTTCCGGCAAGGCATTTTGGGAAAAAATCTTTTGGCATGCCTTATCCACAACTGGCAGTGTTCAGCTGTGATTATTTGCATAACTTCAATCAGCTGTTTCTCAGTAGCAATGGAATATAATACAGGGGATATATTTGTGTTTCAATTCACAATATGAACAGTTAACTTTGACTGTAACCAATGAGATAGATTTTGAACATTATGTTATCTGTTACAGTGTGAAAGCATTGGGCAGTAAAAATCGATTGTTTTGGTCTTGGTTGAGCTTGTGTATAAAAGAAGTTCAAGCATTTTCAATTTTTGTTTACTCCATGCATTTTGTGTCAAAGCAACAAGAAATGTGTTAATTGTATAGCCAACACAGATGGATGTTGTGCTAACTGTGGTAAGAGTTTAGGAAACTTAAAACCTAAAAGTATTGAAAAAATGTTCAAAGTGATTGTAAAATACTGTAGTAATAAAACTGAATCCACACTAATAAAGTTGTGTATGAGGGCTGATTACTAGTTTAATATATTTAAGAATACCAGCCAAACATAAACAATAAAAAGTTACATGTAAGGTTTTGATAAAATCACCTCTTGAATCAAATATGTGATGTTCAAAAGTAATTTCACAATTTGCAAAATTTAATTCAAAATTGTGAATTCATTTAACAGGTAAAGTGAGTATTAGGCATACCTCTTGAAACAATTAACTGACTATTCATCGACTCCCTAAATTCATATTTCATTAAAAAAATATGTACATTAAAAAGTTTTCAAACAATTCAGTGTTTGGTTGTTTTCTTGAAACGCTTTAATCGAACACTGAAAAACATTTGCTCCACATGACTTGAGTCAGTTGACTGGAGGGTGGTTTGCCTCATACAGGCACGGTTTAAGAAGATAAGTGCATTCTCTCACACCTATTAACCACGTACCTCCATATTAGCCACACAAGCAATCCCATTAGGCTTAGTAGATTGCAAGGTGAGAAAATAAGCTATTTTTAGCAAAACTGCTAGAGTGCCTGGAAAATAGAATTTCAGAATTTGTTTTTTGGATGATATCAAAGGAAAAAGTCCACGGAGTAGAAAAACCGCACAGTTTCCTGAATCTTTAGATGATTATAAACCCAGTAGAAAACAATACCCAACAATACTTCTTCAGTAGTAGTGTTCCGGTGAAGTTTTTGTGCATTCCCTCATCACCCACAATACGGGAGGTATTAGACTGGAATCCTACCCTTGCTGTGAAATCAACTGCTGCCCCTCGGTTCAGCAGGAGTGTGGCCACATTGACGTTGCCATAGTGGGCAGCGATATGAAGGGGGGTGAATCCACTCTGGAAGAAGAGTGGAAAACACACAAGAAGGGAGACAGAGGTCAGACATCAGCCTTTACTTCATGAAATGGGACAGTAAATCGTGACTCCCAATCTTTAGTCTTCCCCAGCATGCAGCAGTTGAAGAATCACAGGTGAACAAAAACCAAACTGAAAGCAAATAAATTAAATAAAATGTCAAAGGATAAAATAAAAGTCACGATCTGTAGCACCCAGACAAACAACCGCAAAACACCTTCAGAAATTCCACTTTCACAATTCACTTCCATGCGTGTTATCAAACACCGAAAAAAAAGGAAAAGGAGGCCTCCATAAACAATTTATAATGAAAACATAAGAAACTGAAGCAGAGCAATTGGATGGACAGATACAGGGATTGTCATAAAAATTAACTTGAAGGTGGACAAACAATGTTAGCTCCCAAATTATAGTAATAATGATAGTAAAACATAGAGGGAACATTTTTAATCAACATCAAAGTGCACCATGTCCACTGTACATCATGTCAGTAATATAGTTAGCAATGAGAAATTTGTGAGAAAAGTTAGATTGCAGAGCAGGTTGAAGTAGTTGTGAGATTCTTGCCTTACCTTGCCATTCTGTAAGTGTGGTCCGATTTAATGTGAAAAAGTTGTTTACAAAAGTGTGAAGAATACAGTGACGTGATGGTTTAAAAACTTTACACAGTCAAAAGCTTAAAATGGTGCTATGGTAAAAACATACTATGCAAGCCAAGGTTTTAGCAAAGTTAAGACCTTGAAAGCTTTACCCGCTTACCATGTTAACATTCATTAGTACTGTTGAGAAAAACTTCATATGCCAGTTATTTAGACATTTACATAGCAGCATGCATTTGAACAACTTGATCAGGAAGTTTAGAGTTTAGAGGTCTACAATTGACAAAATTGAAATCAAATAATTTAATCAATTTAAATGTTTCTATTCTTTTATTTTATTTTAAAGATTTGATAAAAATAACATTGCAAATCAAAAGTCTTAGTGATAAGTGTGTTTCAGTAGAATCCAGAGGCATACACTGCCATATTGACTTTGCGTAAACAATATGCAATCTGAGCATTAAGTCCAATTTGAAAAATGTCCTGTTTTATAAATATTAAATTAGTATTATGTAAACATTTAGTCTTCTGCCCTTTTATAATATTTCTCAAATCATTTTCACTATTGATTGTTCCTTCTGTACACATAACATCTATCCCTCTTCTGTCCGTTATGGTAGTGGGATCATCCTCTGCTGTTCTCCCTGAGGTTTCTTCCTCTTCTCTCCATTTAAAGCTTTTTTTCTGGGGAGGAGGGGGGGGGGGTCCCGTGTCAATATGAGGTTTGCGGGACAGATGATGTTGTATGTGGACATGTTGTAAAGTCCTCTGAGGATAATTTATAATTTGGAAATGTGTAATGTATAATTTGTAATATTACCGTGGTAATATTATGCTTTGTTATGAGTTGGCCAATTCATGAATTTTGAAAAATTAAAACCCTAATCGGAATGCTTTACGGGCACACAAATGGGAAAGTAAATATTAATTTGATTAAATGACTTCATGTTTATATTGAAGCACTATGAAGTACCATACTTAAGTTATTATGTTGTAAGCTATAATTTAACCAATAATGTTTTAAACTTAGCAGCTTATAGTGCATCCCTAAAAAACATGCAACACAACATACACAAAATTTCAAATCAGAATTGCGGACAATATACTGTACATTAATAGCTTTTCACAAAAATGTAACAGTACAGTATTCATCAAATTAAAACTTTGCAAGAGAGAAATGTGATCATTACTAATTCATCAATACACCTAACATCTCAATAAAGACGTTTTTTGAAGGTATTTGTTAATGTATTGAGTGTGAATAAACAAAGGGTCACCCTGAGCTGGAGAAGAAATGTATAAACTGGGGATAAAACAATAAAAATCAAGATATAAATATCTTGATTTTATTTGCAGACAGGTCAAGCACAGGACACACTGCAGTAGCTTGGCCCATTGGGTCAGTCTTGCATGTTGACCTCTTATTATACCAAACCAAGAGAAACCAAATGATCTTTATGTACACCATGCAGTGGTGTGGAAGTGAAATAAAAGATGGAGGGAAATAAAACGGAAATAAGAAAATGGGACAGTAAGGTGAATCTGTAAAGATCAAAAGAGCATATGTATACCTCAGTAGTCCTATTGACCATCATCTGAAGCAGCAGGAGGGAAAGATCAGATCAGTTAGGATGTTTGAAGACATTACTGCACTGTAGTTAGATGCACAGCAGGACAGCTGTGCTGAAACTTAACGGTCACGTTACTTGGCGCCCTTCCCTTTAGTGGTCTCTTACATGTCTTGTTGAGACAAAGGTGATATGTCAAAGATTAAGTTGTTGTGGGTATGCAGCTAACTGCTTTTTCCAGCAGCAGTTGTTGCAATATACAGCTTTAACTGTAGGAGCAATCCTTAACGTTCAAAAAGCTGCCTAAATGACTGTTGTGCAGAAAATCATCTCCACTTGAGCCATGTCACTTAAAGCCACTTTAAGAGGAACGTAAACAAGTCAATGAATAGTGGGTTGCCCCCAGATTGCCCCCCAATCCATTTGTTGCATGCAGCTTTGATTAACACCACCATACAACCTGCAGACAGTGGCACACTCCATGCAGTGGACAGTGCTACACTTATACACCGGTGCAGCAAGGTACAAGGCAGTGAGGAGGGACGTGTGTGAAAGGTGGCAATTAAAAAGAAAAAGGAAACAGAGGGAGAGACCCAGTTAGTGGCAGGATAAGGACGAACGTTGCAGCCACACAGACACTGAAGGAGAGAGGAAGAGAGAAATAGAGAGATGCACAGACACTCTGATGGAGCCAAAAAAACCTTTATACACAGGAATACAGCTGTATTTCAAAAGAACATCACAATAATGTAGTGGTCTTCTATCATACACTCAATCAAAATCATAAAATTAGATGATTCTATTTATACCTGCTGTGATCGTTATCTCGATATCACTATTTCTTCTAGGTAAGATCTGTTTTTTATTTTCACAAACCAAAACAGTTCTTTTTCTAACTTCGTTCGGTGTTTCACTATGGGAATCGCCTCGGCGTGACCAACTAAGGAAGCTCCAATGACACCACGTCTGTCAGTGACAGACAGGTCGAACTGTGCTGGGCCCCCGCCTCCTCATATTATCACAGTCGACCGCCCCTCGCAAATCATTCTCGTTTTCTTCCCGTGAAGAACTATAGCTTCCTCAGCTTATCTTAGCGAAACAATTTACCGTCAAGCTAAGCTAACGCTAGGCTCGGCTAATTGTGGTGTATTCCCCTCTCTTCTCAGTTGCTATGTCGGCCGCTACCCCCGCCAAAGGGTCAGAGCTGAAGGCCAAAGAGGCTGCATTCCGCCCGTGCCCTGCTTCATGCGGGGCGTCCATCTCGGGCAGGGACCCTCATCCGATGTGCATAGCCTGCATGGGCGCTAAACACGCCCAGGCGGCTCTGGCGGACCCACAGTCCTGTCTACACTGTGCGCCAATGCCGGAGAAGATTCGGGAGAGACGGCTTAGAGTGGCGGCATCCACAAAGCAGAACCTGTGCCTGTCTGGAACTGCCCCAAAAGCCTCAACCAGCTGCCACCTGCCGCAAGCTTCTTCGAGCTGGGCGACATGATGGATGCTGAGTCCCCAGAAATGCCTCCACTTTTTGAGGAACTGCTCGAACTGGAGCCGGGTGGTGAGGACGCAGAGGGCGATGCCAACTCTGACCTCCTTGACGTGGACGACATGGAAGAGGAGGAGGATGACTCCACTTTTCCTGTCGAACCACCCAGACCCCCTAGTGCATCTGATGTTGTCCCCCCAGTGGACAACAACCTGTATGAGGTCTGCAAACGGGACGCGTCAAAATTGGGCATACAATGGCCAGCAGCCCAAGATGCTACAGGGGGGGAAAGAGACCTATACGACGGTAAAAGGCTGCCGCCAACCCTACCGCCGTCTAAACAACTTCTGCCAGCCGTGCCCATCTGCATGAAGGAGATGGGCAGGTACTGGTCCAGCCCGTTCAAGAGTAAGCTCCCCACCAAGGGCTACTCTAAACTGGAAGTTGATGGGATGGGAGAGCTGGGCCTAGCAGGCCCACCAGAGGTAGAACCTTCAGTGAATAAAACAGAGCGCCTCACCGCCTCTGTTTTGCAGAGAATGTACCGCTATGCGGCACAGTCAGTGTGTTCGCTAAACGCGGCGACTTTGCTGTCTGCGTACCAGGGAGAGGAGATGGGCAGGCAACTGGACTCTGGATCACCAAACCCGGCCCTGTGGGATGAGATTTGCGTAGTAAATGATCTCATCCTCCGCTCATCACGCGGTGCGGTGCAGGGCTGCGGCTGTGTGATGGGACTTGCGGTCTCAGGCGAGAGGGCCCTATGGCTGAATCTTTCGGGCCTCAGCGATGTGCAGAAGGCAGAGGTGATGGATGCTGCTTATGACCCAGCTAAGGGTTTGTTTGGCCCTGCTCTTGAAAAGATGAGGGAGGCCAGCACCCTCAGGAAACAAGAGGGCGAAGCCTTCGACCCCTGTTTGCCCCGAAAGCACATCCCTCGCACCCCGCAGGTGCCCAGGGCTGGTTTTGCAGCTGCAGCTGTGAGAGGGGCACGGGGAGGCGCCAGGCCGCACAGACAGGCAGCGAGTCAGCAGACTGTCCAGCAGCCTCGAGTGGAAAACCCCAAACCATGGGGCAAACACTCCTTTGCAGCCGCTGCAGCAAAGAACCGCCCATCCCACCCCGGGGAAGGGAAGAAGAAGCGCATGTCCTAACCGGCCTTGCTTTTCTCTCCCCTCCACCTTCAAAGAAAAGAAGGGAGGTGGAGGTGAGACAACCCCCCCGAGTTTGTATTCCAAATTCCCTGGTGTTTTCCAGTTCTCCAGAGGAGCTTTTGATGTTTCTCCCCCCTCACGTTCAAGGGAGGAGTATCGGGGGCGGCGGGTAACACAGTGTCACCAAGCACTTCTTCCCACCTCAAACATAGTTATAAAGTTTGTATTCTCGCAGCCAGGCCAAAGGCCGAGGGCGAAATACGCCCTCGGCCTTTGGCACCGCCCCCAGCAGGTGTCCCGCTGGGGGCGGTGTCATCAAGGGTAACCTTGACAACGGATCCCTCCCTATCAGGGTGCGGAGCAACAATGTCGGGCAGGACGATAAACGGAACCTGGGACCCGAGGCTGGCTCAGAGTCACTTGGAATAAACATCTTGGAACTCTGGGCAGTGTTTTATGCACTAAAACATTTTCTGACATTTCTCCAGGGACGCCACGTCCTGGTAAAAACAGACAACACCACCGTAGTGGCGTGCATCAACCGCCAAGGCGGCACTCGCTCACAGCAGTTACACAGGTTGGCTCGAAAGCTAATCCTGTGGAGCAGCACCAAGCTCCTGTCTCTTCGAGCCACACACGTTCCAGGGGTGCTGAACAGGGGTGCAGACCTTCTGTCCCGAGGGAACCCTCTTTACAGGGAGTGGGCTCTTCACCCTCAAGTGGTGAAGCAAGTCTTGCAGAAATACGGCCAAGCAGATGTAGATCTCTTCGCCTTGCGGGAAAACACTCGATGTCCACAGTTTTTCTCCCTGGCAGACGCAAACGCACCACTGGGGATGGATGCGCTGGCCCACTCGTGGCCAAACGTGCTGCTCTATGCATTCCCCCCGCTCAGTCTGATCTCCCCGACTCTAGACAGGGTACGAGAACAGGGCTTGACGCTAATCCTGATAGCGCTGCGGTGGCCGTCCAAACATTGGGTGGCGGAAATAATACAGCTCTTGACGGACGAGCCGTGGCCTCTGCCCATACGCAGGGACCTTCTGTCCCAGGCTGGCGGGGAGATCTACCACCCTAACCCAGACCGAATAGCGCTCTGGGCTTGGCCGGTGAGAGGTGGAACCTGAATGCAACAGGCCTGCCTGAACGGGTCATTGACACCATTCAGAGTGCAAGAGCCGCCTCCACGCGCTCTCTTTACAGTGGTAAATGGCGGGTTTTCGAGGAATGGTGCCGTCTTAGGCACATCATTCCTTTCCAGTGTTCAGTGGTTAATCTGCTATGTTTCCTGCAGGATTTAGTAGACAAGGGCAAAGCTTTTTCTACTATTAAAGTATATTTAGCGGCTATCTCAGCCTGTCATTTGGGCTTTGGTGAGAAGACTGTGGGGCAGCACCTTTTAGTATGTCGTTTCATGAAAGGTGCTCGCCGTAAGCTCCCCGTCTCCAGGCCCCTGGTTCCTCTGTGGGATCTATTGGTGGTGTTGGAGGCCCTCTCTCAACACCCGTTTGAGCCGATGGAGGCAGCGGAGATGAAATTTGTTTCACTTAAGACAGCCTTGCTCTTGGCTTTAAGCACAGCAAAGCGTGTGAGTGACTTACAGGCTTTGTCCATTCGCCCTTCCTGCTTACAGTTTGCTCCAGGGCTCACTAAGGTCTGTATGCGTCCCAACCCGGCTTTTGTGCCTAAGGTGGTGGAGGCAGCGTACAAGTGTCCCACGGTAGAGCTTTCAGCTTTTCACCATCCTCCGTTTTCCTCCTCAGAGGAACGAAGGCTTAACACGTTGTGTCCAGTGCGAGCACTGCATTTGTATGTGAGTAGATCGGCAGGTTTCAGAAAAGCAGATCAGCTGTTAGTGTCCTGGGCCAATTCTCACAAAGGAAAACCATTGTCACGCCAGAGGCTGTCCCACTGGATTGTGGAGGCCATATCTCTAGCCTATAGCTGTAGGGGTTTGCAGCCCCCCCAGGGTTTGAGGGCTCATTCCACGAGGAGTATGGCCACTTCATGGGCCCTGTTCAAGGGGGTTCCAGTGCAAGATATTTGTGCGGCAGCAAGCTGGTCCACACCTCACACTTTTGTAAGGTTTTACAGGCTAGATGTCTCAGGGCCTTCCTTAGCACACGCTGTGCTAGAGGACAACGCGCCAGAGTCCCTGTGAGGGTCATTACCGGCTAAACAATCTTTGACTTCGGGAACGGCATGCAATACAGGAGCGGTCTATATCTCCCATAGTGAAACACCGAACGAAGTTAGAAAAAGAACTTTGGGTTACTTAACGTAACCTCGGTTCTTTGATAACAGAGTGAGGTGTTTCACTCCTTGCATTGACACAGAAAGAAATCGGTCTAGAATGATTTGCGAGGGGCGGTCGACTGTGATAATATGAGGGGGCGGGGCCCCAGCACAGTTCGACCTGTCTGTCACTGACAGACGTGGTGTCATTGGAGCTTCCTTAGTTGGTCACGCCGAGGCGATTCCCATAGTGAAACACCTCACTCTGTTATCAAAGAACCGAGGTTACGTTAAGTAACCCAAAGTTTCATAATAACACTCACACTCTCATTTTCCAGCTATAATGTGATGTTTGGCACTGCTTAACACTTTCTACAGCTTACTATTAAGAAGAGAGCTATACTAGAATCAAAAAGGCCTCCCGTACAGCCTAGAATGCTGGTAAAGGAGAGTATACAAATCTATGCCCTGTTTTCTAGATTTGTACATTCCAACTGTGCAACTCCATACAGAGATGAGAAAGAAGCAAAATGTCTCACTTGTTAGATACTTCTATTATATGCTCTAGAAGAAATTACAGCTGGTATTTACCAATACACAAGTTCAGAACATATGTAGTAGCAACGAGAGTCTGATGCTGGACTTTGAAGGGCTTTTAATGACTGATCCCCACCAACATGATTCATTTTACTCAGATTGGCTTAAACTTTGTGTGTTAAAGACAAGTTCAAGTTAAAGACAAACTCTGAATGTAAACTAACTGTCAAGAGGTTAAGTCTCAATCCTTTGTTAACTTCCTCCCTCAAGGGTTCTAACATCTTCATCATCAGCAGTTAAGTCATTAATACAACTACAGCTCAGCCTACACTACTGGACTGTAATCACCATATACATTAAGAGCGCTCAACTGGAGCCCATACTTTATCTGTATTCTCTACACTGAAATATCAACAGATCCTTGAATAAATAGCCAAATGCAGTGCAACCTCATAATTCATGCATTTTGTAAAAGTATTCATGCCCACAGTATGAACATAAGTAGCACCGCATTAGCTTGATGTGACATCCCCAACTCAAATGGTTCTATGGGCTTACCTTTGACTGGACATCAGCATTGTGGTCATTCTGGAGAAGCAGTGCGGCTGACTTGGTGTCGTCCTTGCGTGCAGCAATGTGCAAGGCCGGCAGGCGGACCTTGCCTTTAGTATCGTTTTCTAGTAGGACAGAAACCACCTGGTTGTGGCCCTGCTGGAGTGCGATGGCCAGAGGGGTGAAGCCATCCTGGGTGAAGAAACATAATAGCAAGAACATAATACCTTAAGTTTGGGTAAAAATAATAGAGAAGTTATAATTATGGATCTTGTACTTTCACGGTTAATTCCATCAGGCAATCACACAGCCATGTCATGCCCACTCTGTTGTTCCGTGCCATGACATTTTGTCATCTATCATCATCATTCCCACAAGCTGTGTACTAACTATGCTAATAAAAGTGTTGAGTGTGATGGATGTGTGCAGCTATAGTCTGATATTGTAATTTCAAATACACACACTCCTCTCACCTCAGTTGCAGTGCTCTGGTTGCCTCCATTCTCAAGCAGGTGTCGCACCACATCCATGTGATTCTCCTGGGCAGCCATGTACAGAGGAGTGAATCCATTCTACAACACACAAGCAAATGGAAGAGGTTACCAATATATTACAGGTCATGATCACTTTATTTACTCAAATAGATGCTGCCAAAAATACAATTTCTGCTCTTTGAATGATATAAATGACAAGCAATACAGCAAATTAGATTGCCATTGCCTTTGAAGAGAATAGCAGGATTAAACGGCTTCCGCAGTAGAGTACAGAGGCTCACCTGAGATTGTGAATTGATTTCAGCTCCTCGTTGAACCAGGATCTTTACTACTTCAGCCTGACCGGCTAGGGAGGATATGTGAAGAGCTGTGTTTCCTTTCTTGATTGATAAAAATATGAAAGGACAGTGAGAAAGGGCATTTCCACTTAGTAGTATGTAGATCTCTGCCAGGTGAGTCTCACCAAAAAGGTTGATTTCACCTAACTGTTCTGTACTGTATTGCTCCACAATTCATTATAGTCAAGATGGCAGAGAAAAATAAAGACAAAAACTTTCTTTCAACTCATGTTACAGCTAACTCAAGAAGAGCTTAACATACATGGGTTTAGGATTAAGCTACAGATTACCATGTTCAATATGTGATCAAACTTTCTATTTTTTTGCCAAGGTAAGGTGGTGTTGCTAGTGAAGCACCTGTCGACAGGCAGAAGAGGAGTCAACAGCCAATGACAGTACAAAAGAGTGACTTAAATAGTTTTGCGAAGATAGCCCGAGGACCATGAGCATTCACTTTTTAATGAGCACAAAATATGCCATACTGATTGATCCAGTATTAAAAGTGATTAGTCTTGGATTGACACATACTAGCTGCACCTATTTTACAAGGACACGTGGATAAATCCTGTTTTGAAGAACTGAAGTCTGCTCACTTCGAAGTTGAGATGACCTACCTTTGTGGCCGAATCCACTGCAGCACCTCGCTCCAAAAGTTCCTGGACCAGATCCACATGCCCCTCCTTGGCAGCTAGGTGCAATGCATTGAGACCATTCTGGAAAAAGACGTGGGAGGAAAAGTCAGGCCAAGCATGTTTAAGCTCAAATAGTTTTTAGGCCCAGTTACCAAGGGGCTAATATGGCTAATCGCTGTCCTTTTTGATTTAATTCAGTTGGTTTTAATGAATGAAGACAAAATATAAGCATCATTGCCAAGCTCATGTATGCATCCAGCAGACATGTAACCCCATTACTTTTTTATTAGGAGTATTTCTGTGCACCTGAAAATATTAGCTAAATATGCACTGTCCTTTTAGCTCTGGTTTGATCTCCACCAAATCTGGGGGATAAATATTTGACTGCTTTCACAGGTAACTAGCTTGTCTGTTTGGCGTTTGTTTCTGGGCAGATATTGCATATCTTTTTTGCATAAAACAGCTATCTGCATCTGATTAAAAAAAAAGATGAATTAGAACCAAAACGATCAACAAAACTAGGTTGAAAGACTCTGGGAGGAACTTTGCAGGTGTGTTTTGATTTTCTGTTTTCTGTCTGTTATATGAACATCCATCGATCGTTAATTGATCCATTGTTGGTGTAAATAATATTGAGTGCAGTTTTATTTGCTGGATGAAAATTACAACAGGCTCCCGTTTTCTTTCAGGTCTTTCAGCAAAATAAAGGTGCTGAATGCAGGGTTATTCCCTCTAGTTTTCCCCGTACTTTTAGACCTATCCCAGTGGGATACCAAGAGAGAATTTACTCAGCTTGGAATCCTCTCACAATGCTTTAATTGTCTTTGCCAAGATGTAACCCATATTTGGCAGTAGGCATCTGCTCAGTAACAAAGAAGAACATGTATTTCCGATAAGTCCTTCTTTCTTTTAATCAGCTGATAGTGTATGTTAAATTAGCTGCCTACTTCCTACTGGCCTCATCTTGCCCAGCACTTTGTGCTAGCCAATGTGTTGTTACAACTGCTGTATCTAAAATACTAGTTCAAAGTACAAGTTACCTAGTTGTGTGTATTGATGTTACTCTGTGGTCTGGGCTTTATGTTCAACATGACGGTGGCCTTGTTATCTTTAAATAGGTTTTAGCAGTTATGTTTTTTACAGAAAATAGACATATTATAGATTATGCACCATATGATTAATGTCCAAATCCAACGCAAATTACAAATTTAGGAAGCACTGTGCCCTTTAGGTAGTGAAGCGGAAATCAAGGATGATTTGGATCTGGGTGATGAATGAATCTTTTATGTCAATAATTTCAGTTCAGTTTTTATTCCCAGAACAATCATTCCAAAGTCTGTTATCTGAATCCCCACCTCCTCACTATTCTCCAATAAAACAACAGACAGATATTTTCCAGCTGAGATGAAGTTCCTGTATTTTATCTTTAAGGACAATGACAGAGGGATTTGGATGAAAAAAGTGAAGGACCTTAAACCACCCTTCTACAGATTATATTAGAGGTGTAACGATTCATTCACTGAATCGATTAATCGATTTATATTCCTGCGATCCAACTGAATCGATCTGTGCTCCGCAAATCGGCATTCCGGACGACATATATCGATTACAAATCGATTGAAATGGTACATAATCGATTGTATCGATACTTGGAAACTGCACATTGGATTTAAGTACAAAAACGGTATGGATGTGTTTGTTTTTTAGCACTTTAGACATGTTTAACGTTACTCGATTCAGTCTGCCTGTCTGTGACGTCATCAGTACGCAGCGGCAGCCCCACGAAACTCTGAACAACAACAAAACACAGCGTGGAGGAGACGACTGCGAGCAAGACATCTACAAACCAACTTATCGATCCAGCGTGTGGAAACATTTGGGCTTTTGCAAACACGGAGGTGTTCTAAATAAGTCGGTCGCTGTTTGTAGAATATGTGGAAGCCAAATAAAAAACCACGGAAACACAACCAATCTTTCCAGCCATCTACTAAAGCGCCATGGGATTAAACAAAACGCCGACAGTCAGGCACCTCTAGCAGTTGCCAAGTTTATCTGTAAAGACATGCGACCCTACAATGTGGTTGAAAATCTGGGGTTCTGTGAATTGATCCAAACATTGTGTAATTATTGTGTAATGTTTACATTGAAAATGGTTGCACTTGATTCAAATAAAAGGTTAATACATTTGCCATTAATTGTTGTTTGCTTGTTTATAATATCCATAATTAATTTAAACCTCATTTCTTTACAAGAAACAACAGGGATCTCAGAAACTTTGCCTGCACTGTCCAGTAAAGTTACTGAATCAATTTTAAGTCACTGAATCGAATCGTTCTAAGTTAACCCAGATCGTCCATGAATCGAATCGGCAACCATGAATCGTTGTTAAAATGAATCGTTACACCCCTACTAAAAAGAGAAACTCCCAGATCTCAGTCACAGTTCTCCCTGCAGTCACTGGAGGCAGTGCCTCCTCTGTGTCATCATGAAATGTAAAAAACAAATAATTATTAAAATATATATTACATTACAGGTCATTTAGCAGACGCTTTTATCCAAAGCGACTTACATTACATTTTTAACCCATGGCTTTTTACATTTTTGCCCAGGGAGCAATTAGGAGTTAGGTGTCTTTCTCAGGGACACGGGGGAGCCGGGACTCGAACCGCCAACCTTGCGCCACGACAACCCTGAATTTATATGTATTTGTCCAGTGATCTGTGATAGTAGTGTACTTATTAGATTCCAACCAATCCAGTATCGCTGAAGGGTTAGGGCAGCAACGAGCTCCGCTTCCTCCCAGATAAACCGGGTTGAGCTGCTCATTTTTTTGCTCATTTTGAGCATGTGCAATTAATGTTTCGGAACTGGCAGAGGGCAGACAACGGGCGGGAGGGAGAGGACCAGGAGACGAGGGTCATGCAGCCCGGGGAACTCCGGCAGGCGGTCAGTCGGCCGGGGAGCCTCTGGAGGTCGGCGTCAGGATACCGAGAGCCGGGCACGGGGGCGCTGGCTGCAGGACCCCCTCTCAGGGGCCGGATTCCAGACGGCCCTCTAAACCCTAAAGGGCGGGAGGGAGAGGACATGGGGACAGGAAGGAGGGGACGGGAGTCGTGGAGCCGGAACTGGCGGAGTTGGGGGCACGAGTCGTGGAGCCAGGGCTGGAGTCGTGGAGCCGGGGCTGGAGTCGTGGAGCGGGGAGTCGATGGCGTGGGTCATGGAGCTGCAATTGGCGGGGGTGTGAGTCGTGGAGCTGGGACTGGGGCATGAGTCGTGGAGCCAGATCGGGAGGTCGTTGCGGCCCAGCGGGATTGGGAGGTTGCTGCGGCTCAGCGGGATTGGGAGGTTGCTGCGGCTCAGCGGGATTGGGAGGTCACTGCGGCCCAGCGCGGAAGGAGGTGCGCTGCGGCCCAGCGGGATCAGGAGGTCTCTGCGGCCCAGCGGGGAAGGACGTGCACTGAGGCCCAGCGTGGAGGGAGCCTGGAGGTGGGCAGCCAGCTCCATCACCCGCTCCCAGTGTGATCCGGCGCCTTCAGATCGGGACCCGAGACGGGTAGCCCGCTGAATGGCGTGGTCAGACGGGTTTGGTCCCCAGAAAACGTGGACACAAAAAAGGTACTAACTGGAAACTCACAGGCAAGATGACAACAGACGAGAGGAACATCCACAAAGACCTTCAGGCATTGACGACATTCACAAGCGCAAACCACATTCAATGACGCGACAAGGGACAAGAGACACACACGACTTAAATACACTGGGAAGGTGCAGGTTATTGGACACAGGTGGAAACAATCATGGACAAAGCAGACAATCACAGGGGATGAGAGGACAAGGCAGGAAGTGAATCTAACCCAGGGACACAAGAGGCATGAAACTACAAAATAAGACGAGACATGAACCCAAGCCATGACAAAAAGCTGCCCTAAATCGGTTGCGAGAGCGCGCATTGCCTGAAAGTGCTCATTTGTGGTGTTTCCGTGCTTTTTTAGCTGATCGCCACAGAGCAAATGACAACCAACAGTTGCGCGTTATTTTGATCACCGCACTGATAACGCTCAGATCAATGTAAACGGATATATACGTTGCATTATGGCTCAAGTCAGTACACCCTGTGATTCACTCAACCAATCAGAGCACTTGATTTCATCCATATTATAAAAGAATATACGATACCGGATATGAAACATACCCAATAGTCACTGTGCATGCAGCCAGTTGAATGGTGAATGTATGCTACTTTGTTGAATTTATATATTTGTGAATCTGACTTTGAAAGTCAGTGCCTTCCCAGCCACGAACCTCCCTGCTACTGAACGGAAACGCCAGCTCTAAGAATTTCTATGATAAACAAGGTATCAAATAAGCAGTGTTAAAGTTATGGTGAACAAAAGAGCATATTTAGCCAGCTAAAGAAATAAGAAACACATTTTTCTGGGGAGACCAAACCTGAGCTAAAAAGCTAGTGGACAGTCATAAGATAAACACAACTTCAAATAAGTTATAATGTTGCTCAGTGTCTGCTGAATTGTTTCATTTTGGCCTTAGCAACTTATGCAGCCTCAACGAAATTGTGTAAAAACATTTCAATTTGAGTTATTTAAGTCGGTAGCTTAAGCTGTTTTTCCTGCCCTTGGACAGTCATAATTAATACTAATTCATAACAAGGTTTGTCCTGCAATACTAAGTTATGTGATCTGCTTTCTACCTGATTGCTGGTGCCGATGTCCACCCCCCCTTTCAGATATTCCAAAACCTTGTCGATGTTTCCTGCTCTTGCCGCTCGCAGGAAACTGGTGTTACTGTCAGACTGGAAGAGACACAGGAGAAATACAATTTCATTAAACGATCTACAGTTTCCAAGGCACATAGACACATTCTCTTTTGCTGCTGATGACGAATAGTTACGAGATGATCCGCTGTCTCAACGGCACATTATTTATCAAATAATAGATTCAAAAACCCAACTCACAATCTAGCTTCACAAAAATGGGAAGGGAGGAAGTCACGCAAGCGGTTGTCAGACTTTAAATTTCCAGTGCCAGGATGTCCTGTGATTGCTCGGCAAGGGGACTACATGAACTGTTCTGTGGCTTACGGTTTGGGACACAGGAATACGGTATGGCAGAGCCATTAACCGACTGTGGTGAGGCGTTTTAACTGGACCCAGGAGAAGCGGTGTCTCGCCACACATCCACCTGTCACTGACTGTGTTTTTTGTTTTTTTAGACATTTGATGATCATCGGGTTGTTGTGGGATGAACCCAGGAAGCTTTGGAGGAAAACTTTTGAGTGCTTTATCTTTCTGCAACATTGCAGCTATTACTAAAGAAATGCTTTATAATTGTTTCAGAGTTCTCTATCACTTTTTCTCCACTGGAGGGGCATGCTAAAAATCCCTGTACCAAATAAGCGTCACATTTTTTACTAATTTTTTACTTTAATCCCGATTTCTCCACTGGGAGGACACTCTATCACTGCATGAAAAGTGAGATTTTCGTCCCCGTAAACGCCCGGAAATCTCCCAAATTTCCGACAATTTGCAACCCACGCACGTCGCGTTTGTCTGTGCCATAAATTGTTGGAAACGAACCATGACGTAGGCGGAGAGCTGGCGGAGTTGCGAATGGCCCGAATTAGCATATGAATGCAGCGAAGCCGCGGGTGGCCGAGCCGAGCGGGCTTGAATATCCTTACTCCTTATTGGAGGAAACCACAACTTACGAACAAATGAAATCACTCGTGATTGGCAGCAAAACCACACGTGGGCAGACCAGGCTTGAGTTTCCTTGTTCATGATTGGATGAAACCACAACTTTCAATCACTCGTGATTGGTTGGCAGATCTGTCGCTATTGGTCACCCGCCTCATTTTATAAATATATTCATATTATGATGTATATTCATTTCATGGTTATCCTATGTAGGCTACTACACTATTATTAGGATACCAACCAGGACATCAATGAATTTAGAGAGAAAATGAACATTTGCCACATGTTTATGCAAAGAAAAAGCTTTATTAACAACACACAAACAACAACTACATACAAAGTGAGGATCTGCCCACACTTGGGTAACGGCGGTTTAAAAACTACAGCTCAATAAACTGTCCGTTTGCCTCCTCGGGGTTGTAGACCGTCACTGGCGCCGTGTTTTCCGAGGCAGGTCTGTTGTGCAGGCGGCTCGTGTGTGTGTGGCGACCGTACAATCCACCCCGAGACCCCGCCAACAACGCCGTCCCCTCCGTCCGACGTGAGCTCCACGGTGGCGGAGTTCCACCTCGTCATCAGCCAGCACACTTTGTCTCGATTCCAGCAGCTATAAAAACAACAATGAATCAGTACTGTGCGATGCGTACGGACACAACACATCGATCAATGCACCTGAAACAAGTCAGCAAATAAACTCTGACCCGCTTTCTTCTCGCTCGACTCCGCGCTGAATCCTTCGCAGCTTCCGCCCGCAATGAGTGTTCCGCCTGAACCTGAAGCTCCTGCGTCCCGTCTCAAAATACGTCTCACAGGCGGCTGGAAAACAATTAAATGACTGTGGTATGAATACAAAAAAAAAATCAAACGCAAGTCACAGTAACATTTAACAAGGAAGGAGAAACAGTGTCACTTACACACAGTGACGTCGTCTAAATCTGGACTTTTCCCGGAGCAAATACGAGGTCACCGCCTCATTATGAGGCGAGATTAGTCTGTGAAAACAACATGTACAGTTATGATCGGTATCTATACGTATATATTCCCTTATACCGCAGAATGAAAGCATCTTTAAATCTTACCCTTGCTCCGGTTCGTAGCGCCTGTAATTCGTCTCAGAGTTGTGAAGATGGCGCACCGCTTCCTGTAAACGACACGGCAAAGAAAACACTTTAATAAAGCTGTTTCTGCTCACTTGTAAAGCTACTAGGCTACTCTTAGCTTAGCTTGAGGCTACGCTACTTTTAGCTTAGCTTGCAGTCATCGAACGTATTCTTACCGCTATCTTGGGATTGTGCGCCCGTCTCCTCTTCTTTGAGTCGGTTCCTCTCCTCCATGGACAGAAACCCGCAGAGTCCCGAACGCTAAAGTGGAGCGAACCGCTCGTTGATATCGGCAGTTTGTTGTTGGAGTTGACGAGACGATCCACTGAGAGCTTTCAGCAGCTTCTTCTGTCTGTCTGCGGACTGGCCGAAAGTTGCTGACCGCGGAGAGGAGTTGAAGGCGGGTTGAACGCGAGACGTCGTCCAGCCATTATTCACGAAGCAGCAAAAACCAAACAAAGGAACTGGAGATACAGTTCTTCTGAATATAGTAACACACGTGTCTGTTTGCATGCTCGTCTTGCAAGTACTGCTGTATCAGTCATGCCTATGACCTCACACGTGATTGGACGAGGAGTCTAAGGGTCCTCCAATCACATACGAGGTTATTGTTATACGGAAGGACCAGTATTTTAGGAAGACAAATGGTTGGGACTTTGAAACAGCTGATATGCTTCATGTAAAGCAGTGTTTTGGTGTCAGCGGAACGACTTTCCCTAGAAAACTGTACAGTGGTGCCTCTTTCTCCATTCCACCAGACACTCTTGAGTCTGACAGACATGCAATGTTGACAATGTATCATCAGATGTACCCTTGTGTCACTGAGGTTGAATGTTTTGCCATGACATGTAAATGGATAACATATATGAATGTAACTTACTCAATCGATAGATGCAGAGCATAAAGGTCAGCATATGTTCATGCTAAGTGGTGTGGAAACACTAACAGTTTTGAGGAACCCGTCCTTGACCCTCTAGCAGAACTGCGACCAGCCATTATAAAGCAGTTTATAGTTGTTAATGTTGTGTCAAAGGGTACGGCATTTAATAATAAGGTGTGTGGTTAATACATCCTCTGTGCATTTAAGTAAGACCAAAGAAAAGGTCACTGTAGTCCTGCCACTATGCACTGTAGTTGAGCTCTAGGAGACTGTGATCTCTGCAGACCCCTCATGCTGATTCAAATGTTGTTTGCATGGAATGCTCATTTTACCTTGATTAAAACTATTTTTTTAAAGAAGTTATTTTGTGTATCTTTTTTACATAACATTTGCCACTGCTAATGGCGTACACAGTAATCTAGCATATTTGAATTAAATAAATCAATTCAAGCCAAAATGTAAGAGTCTATAATTAGGCTACTGAGCCTGATCTATTTGTACCAGAGATTTTCTTACCTTTTAAAAAAATGTCACCTGGGCTAAAACTCCCTCTGCGACCCTGATTTGCATTTGTATAGCTCACAGCATTTTCATTTACATGTCAAAGCCTCCCCTAGAAATAGGAGGAGGGGGGTCATGGGGGGACAACTGCCAAGGGAGGCCCACGTCAATTTCTGACAATTTACGGCAGTTTTCGGCGTTGCCCGCAAATTGCCGCAAATTGCCGCAAACCTGAAATTCCACGACAATTTACAGTGCCGCATACTGCCGAAAATCCCACTTTTCATGCAGTGGTTTGGAAACAGTGACGTCAGCTTGTTTTATGTAAATGCTGTTTTGGGAAGAAACAACATGCAAGTAGAACTGAACGCCTCGTGTCAGTTTTGCTGCTGAACATTATCTATCCTACAGAATGTTCATTTACACTTAAAAGTTTCTCCAACTAGCAACAATGTTGCTGACATTGATAGTTGATGTCCTCACTGCCATGTTTGACATAAAACCGCTACAAAAGACATTTCCCACTTGTTTGCTATCATCCCTGTACTAAAGTAGTATGCAGTAAATGGACTACTTGTACATCTTTTTTCTAGTCATCCAACCATTTAAAGCATTTAAAACACTACAATTTATCATGTCAGCTCCCATACACCTGCACATCAGTATTAATGTATTTATACACCGTAATCACAGCTACGGAAGCCATGCCATGTTTAAGTGTCTTGCTCAAGAACATTCCGAAATTACACGATTTTGGTTTACAATTGCCCTCATGAATATTGTGAATCATATATTTTCTTATCAATGAAAAGCAAGATACTCTCACTGATTAAAAATGTCTTTGAAGGGCTGCTGACCATTTTAGAATGCATACCAATGTTAACATTGGATTCATGCCTTCCAAGCTGAAATTGGCTGGAAACAGGTAATTTAAAACACTTGTAACACACTTTTTAACACATCCAGAAGACACAACGTTAGCATACATTTTGAGTCATGTTCAAGTCCTTCACTGCTGTTTGTTCTAGTTTGGTGTCCTCCATATTCCTCCTAAAAACATCTGTCCCTTTAGCTTCTAAATACTAAAAAAAGAAATGAAATAAACTAAAAAGTTCTACAAATCCCTACTATGAACTGTAATTGGCACACACATCCCCATCCATATCAACGGGACGGAGGTTGAGTGTGTCGCCAGCTTCAAGTGTCACAGTGTGGTTCACTTCCTGTCTTATTTTGTAGTTTTCTGCCACTCATGTCCCCGGGTAACTTCACTTCCTGCCTTGTCCTGTCATCCCCTGTGATCGTCTAATAGTTTCCACCTGTGTCCAATCACCTGCACCTCCCTTGTGTATTTAAGCCGTGTGTCTCTTGTGTCACTTGTCGCGTCATTGTCTATCGTCGTGGATGTTCGTAGTTCCGGCCTGCTGTTTTTCCCCTGGTTCCTGTGTGTTTTCGGACTAGCAGGTTCAGGAACAGCTTCATCCCTGCGGCTGTCACTCTATTGAACTCTGCCCCCCCTGAACTCTGAACTCTGCCCCCCACACACACACACACACACACACACCTCCCTCAGTTACTGTACTTCCCCCCCCCCCCCCCCCACCCCGGCTTGAGTG